GCGGGGCGGTGCGTGCGGGGGCGGGGGGCGGGGCGGGGGCAGGCGCGGAATGGGGAGGAAGGGAGTTAAAATAGTCCTTCACTCAAGAAATCCAGTTCCGCAGAATAGAGAGCCCAGAAATGGACCCTCAACTCTATGGTCAACTCATCTTTGACAAAGCAGGAAAGAATGTCCAATGGAACAAAGACAGTCTCTTCAACAAATGGTGTTGGGAAAATTGGATAGCCACATGCAGAAGAATGAAACTGGACCATTTCCTTACACCACACACAAAAATAGACTCCAAATGGTTGAAAGACCTCAATGTGAGACAGGAGTCCATCCAAATCCTAAAGGAGAACACAGGCAGCAACCTCTTTGACCTCAGCCAAAGCAACTTCTTCCTAGAAACATCGCCAAAGGCAAGGGAAGCAAAGGCAAAAATGAACTATTGGGACTTCATCAAGATAAAAAGCTTTTGCAAAGCAAAGGAAACAGTCCACAAAACCAAAAGACAACCGACAGAATGGGAGAAGATATTTGCAAATGACATATCAGATAAAGGGCTCGTATCCAAAATCTATAAAGAACTCATCCAACTCAACACCCAAAGAACAAAGAATCCAATCAAGAAATGGGCAGAAGACATGAACAGACATTTTTCCAAAGAAGACATCCAAATGGCCAACAGACACATGAAAAAGTGCTCAATATCGCTCAGCATCAGGGAAATCCAAATCAAAACCTCAATGAGGGCGCCTGGGTGGCTCAGTTGGTTAAGCGACCGCCTTCGGCTCGGGTCATGATCCTGGAGTCCCAGGATCGAGTCCCGCATCGGGCTCCCTGCTCAGCGGGGAGTCTGCTTCTCCCTCTGATCCTCCTGACCCTCCCCCCTCTCATGCTCTCTTTCTGTCTCTCTCTCTCTCTCAAATAAATAAATAAAATCTTAAAAAAAAAAAAAAAAACCTCAATGAGATACCACCTCACACCAGTCAGAATGGCTAAAAGTAACAAGTCAGGAAATGACAGATGTTGGCGGGGATGCGGAGAAAGGGGAACCCTCCTACACTGTTGGTGGGAATGCAAGCTGGTGCAGCCACTCTGGAAAACTGTATGGAGATTCCTCAAAAAGTTGAAACTAGAGCTGCCGTATGATCCAGCAATTGCACTACTGGGTATTTACCCCAAAGATACAAAAATAGGGATCCGAAGGGGTACGTGCACCCCGATGTTTATAGCAGCAATATCCACGATAGCCAAACTGTGGAAAGAGCCAAGATGTCCATCGACAGATGAATGGATAAAGAAGATGTGGTATATATATACATACAATGGAATATCATGCAACCATCAAAAGGAATGAGATCTTGCCATTGGCAACGACGTGGATGGAACTGGAGGGTATTATGTTGAGTGAAATAAGTCAAACAGAGAAAGACATGTATCCTATGATCTCACGGATAGGAGGAATTCTTAATCGCAGGAAACAAGCTGAGGGTTGCTGGAGTGGGGGGTGGGGTGGGAGGGATGGGGTGACTGGGTGATAGACACTGGGGAGGGTAGGTGCTCTGGCAAGCGCTGTGAATTGTGCAAGACTGTTGAATCTCAGATCTGTACCTCTGAAACAAATAATGCAATCTATGTTAAGAAAAAAAAAAAAAGAGGGCGCCTGGGTGGCTCAGTTGGTTAAGCGACTGCCTTCGGCTCAGGTCATGATCCCGGAGTCCCGGGATCGAGTCCCGCATCGGGCTCCCTGCTCGGCAGGAAGCCTGCTTCTCCCTCTCCCACTCCCCCTGCTTGTGTTCCCTCTCTCGCTGTGTCTCCCTCTGTCAAATAAATCAATAAAATCGTAAAAATATATATCTTTAAAGAAATCCAGTTCCGGGACATCCGTGCCGTCCAACACTAGTACGGGGTGGGCGGGGGAGGTGCTCTAGAAGAGTTAAATATTGATGATGATGATGATGATGATGGAGAAGAAGAAGAAGGAGGAGGAGGAGGAGGAGGAGGAGGAGGAGGAGAACTGTTCCATGCTATTAAGGGTAAAACAAAAACAAGGCGTAGAACTTCCTCTGGCTCGTAAAGGGGGAAAAAAAAAATGGTTTGGGTTTTGTTTTTTGTTTTTTCTTTCTTCCTGTTTCAACTAAGCGCATTTCAGGGCACCTGACTGGCTCCGGTCGGAGGAGGCCCACGCGACTGCGACTCTTGATCTGCAGGGGTCGTGAGTTCCAGCACCATGCTGGATGATCACTCAAAAAGCTTTCAAAAACAAACACGCAAACAACCGACACCGAGCAGCATTAACCATCAAAGATACACACCTGTGACGAATACGACGTCAGAGGAAACCACGAGCAGCAGTAGCAGAGGATAGGACACTAGAGGGCAACAGAGCCCCATCCATAGGTGCTAGGGGCACTTGAACGCTTTCTGTGTCCACTAGGGACCTCGAAAAAACTTCACTCCCCTATCCAGGGAGGAGAGGGGAGAAGCAACCTCCAGCAAGAATTCCTTTGATTATCTTAATCGCAGGAAACAAACTGAGTGTTGTTGGAGTGGGGGGTGGGGTGGGAGGGATGGGGTGACTGGGTGATGGACACTGGGGAGGGTGTGTGCTCTGGTAAGCGCTGTGAATTGTGCAAGACTGTTGAATCTCAGATCTGTACCTCTGAAACAAATAATAATGCAATCTATGTTAAGAAAAAAAAAAGAAGAAGAAGAAGAAGGAGGAGGAGGAGGAGGAGGAGGAGGAGGAGGAGGTAGCAGGAGGGGAAGAATGAAGCGGGGGGAAATCAGAGGGGTAGACGAACCATGAGAGACGATGGACTCTGAACAACAAACTGAGGGTTCTAGAGGGGAGGGGGGTGGGAGGATGGGTTAGCCTGGTGGTGGGTATTGAGGAGGGCCCATTCTGCATGGAGCAGTGGGTGTTGTGCACAAACAATGAATCATGGAACACTTCATCTAAAACTAATGATGTAATGTATGGGGATTAACATAAGAATAAAATAAAAGAAAAAAAAAAGAATTCCTTTGATTAAAGGTAACTCTTACTACATTGAACTTCACCATTTCGGGGCACCTGGGGGGTGGCTCAGTCGTTAAGCGTCCGCCTTCGGCTCAGGTGACGAGCCCAGGGCCCTGGGATCGAGCCCCACATCGGGCTCCCTGCTCCGCGGGAGGCCTGCTTCTCCCTCTCCCACTCCCCCTGCCTGTGTTCTCTCTCTCGCTGTCTCTCTCTGTCAAATAAATAAATAAAATCTTTAAAAAGTAAATAAATAAATAAATAAATAAATAAATAAATAAATAAATAAATAAATAAATAAAATAAACTTCACCATTTCAACATGGACCTTTAATGGTTTCCTTCCCAACCAAGCCTTTCTCCTTGCCTCCTCCTTACCCGCGTGAATCCCTGATCCCACTTCACAACATCCCCCCCCCCCCACACACACACCAGGCTGAAAACTGTTCTCTCTAAACCATAAATCCTGAGCATCAGGAAAGTACACGAGGAAACACAGACGAGAGAGAGAGAGAGAGAGAGAGAGAGAGAGAGAGAGAGACCAAGCAAATAATGTGGCTCTGAAGGCTGGACATCGATCGAGTTGAGAGAAAGGACCAGACATCACAAACTCGAAAAGAAGGTTTTCCTTTAAAGCTGATCTCTTCCTGAGTTGGCTAAACTACGTTCTTTACTGGTACGGCCTCCACTCAAGAGTGCGACGATCAAAAGAAGGTTTCGCAGTAAACACTTCACGGGTGCATCTATTAAAAAAAAAAAAGAAAAGAAAAGAAAAAAAAGGGCGCCTGGGTGGCTCAGTTGGTTAAGCGACTGCCTTCGGCTCAGGTCATGATCCCGGAGTCCCGGGATCGAGTCCCGCATCGGGCTCCCTGCTCGGCAGGGAGTCTGCTTCTCCCTCTGACCCTTCCCCCCTCTCATGTGCTCTCTGTCTCTCTCATTCTCTCTGTCTCAAATAAATAAATAAAATCTTTAAAAAAAAAAGTTCACGGGTGCAGGCTTCACATTGGTTTTTCAAGTACACGTATTTCAGGGCACCTGGCTGGCTCGGTCGGAGGAGGCCCACGCGACCGCGACTCTTGATCGGCGGGCGTCGTGAGTTCCAGCACCGCACTGGATGGGTGTACAGATTACATACACAAGCAGACAGGCAAAAGGAATTAGAATCGCTATGGTGATTTCGAAGAAAACAAAACAAAACTCAGGAAACAAAGTCGTCCTCTCCGGGCCCGTTTCATGCTTATGTATAGAGGCGATAGAGACCCTGTGATGTTGGCAGACAAAAGAGACAGGTCGGTGGATGGAACGCCACAGATACCCAAACAGATAGGCCCAAGCCCGACAGAAGTTTGACAAATGCGCAAAGGCCATTGGAAGGAGGAAAGACGGCCCACCTCCCCACGAAATCAGAGGGCAGGCATCAGACATCCACAGACCCAACACGCAGGCAAGCAGGCAGACAAAGAAACAAGAAAGCTGGGGCGCCTGGCTGGCTCAATCCGTGAACCGTCCGCCTGCCTTCGGCTCAGGCCCTGAGCTCAGGGTCCGGGGATCCAGCCCCACATCGGGCTCCCTGCTCGGCGGAGACTCTGCTTCTCTCTCTCTCAATCTCTCTCTCTCTCTCTCTCTCTCCCTCCCTCCCCCCTCCCTCCCCCCACCCCTCCTCTCAAATAAATAAAAGTCTTTTAAAAAGAATAATTTAAAAAAAAAAAAAAAGGAAGAAAAGAACGTCACTCACTCCCCTTCCGGCATAGGGAGGACATCTTCGGGGGGGGGCGGGGGATGGGGGGGATGCCTCTCGGGAGAAAAGGGGGAGATTCAGCGAGTCAGCGCACCCTCCTTGCACCTGTGTGTGGGGGGGGGGGGGTGGTGGTTTGTGTGTTTCCTTGCCGCTGCTCGTTTTTTACAAGTGTATATAGAGTTCAAAACAGTATGCTGGTTTCCTTTATATCTAAGTCTTATCTCGGGTTTGGGTTCTGATGGGAGGAGGGAGGGCCACCTTTTCTTCCGACATGGTGGAGAAGGAGAAGAGGGATGCAGGCCTGTGCATATTCTTTTCCGTCGTGGGGTGAGCAGAGGACTCGGATTCAGCTCTTGCTGGATGGGATCTAATTTCTCTGTAAACAATCAGGCAAGATATCAGGCGAACAGAGGGCGAGCAAAGGTTAGCAGAACATGGACAAGATTGGCTATGGGTGCTGGAGTTTCCAAAGCAAGGATTTCATCAGAGGCACGTGAATGTCAAAGATTTCCAGGGACCATGTTCATGGATGACTTGGGGTATAGGTCATTTCAAAGTTACGGTGCTACCACCCGGTCACTTGAGCATACTGTCTCCAGCTCACGGCTGCAGATGCGATATGGGGCTCCTCCAGGGATGGAATTGTGCCAGAGAAAGGGAGACAGCAGCCTGTAATTGAGCCTAAGGTGTGTCTGAGAGAGTGACTCTCTAAAGTGCCTTGAGGCAGAAGGAGACCAGCTAGATTTGTCTTTGCTAGGTATTTGTGGCAATGGGGTCGGTGTGGCTGGTGGGTGTTGTCTGTTTATTTTCTAGATTCAGAGAAAGAACTCTTCAAGTGGAAGTATTTGCACAAGGGGTCTGGCAGGATGGGAGGGTGCAGGGGTCGGTCCATTTAACAAGATAACAGGAGGATCAGGCCTTTTAAGAACTAGGCAAAGAGAGGAGTTTAGCTTTGGTCATCACAGCACCTGGCACCTCAGCAGAAACAACAGAAGGTTCCCAGGATGAATTGAGTTGCAGGAGTCAGCGTGAGCAGACCCCACCACCCTCAGCCCTTATCCCTCAGCGCCCCCCCCCCCGCCCCCCAGGCACACACACCCGGGCAGGCAGCGGCTATAGTCCACTCCGAGCTCCAGATCTGGGTCCCGCCCCCCCACCCCCACCCCCACCCCCACCCCCACAGGGCTCCCCTGTCCTCTTCTCAGCCAGAGATGTATATGGGAGGGTGGTCCCAGAACAAATCTCCCCTCATCCACGGAAACCTTGCCAACACTTCGACCACTTTGCCTGAGCTACCAACTCATCTGTACCCGTGCGTGATTTTTTCCCTATGGACCAGGGGCCTAGTTACCAACTTAGGATGGACAGCCCCCCCCCCCCCCCAGCCTACTGTTCCAATTCGACCAGAGGACTTCAGTTGGGGGGGGATGGGGGGGCTGGGGCTGGGGCTGGGGCGGCTGATGGGACGTTCAGGGTGATCCATTCTAATGGGCCTCATTCAATCGCTTCATTCAAATGCAGAAAGCTTTCTGTTAAAGTCAGAGCCTGGAGCTTCCCTCCATTCAATGGCTTTCCTCAACTCCCCCTAACCCTTAGGCTGCAGCTTGCAAACTTCGGAGAGAGATGAGGGAGGGAGGGAGGGAGGGACGGAAGGGAGGGAGGGAGGGAGGGAGGGAGGGAGGGAGGGAGGGAGGGAAGGGAGGGAGGGAGGAGGGGAAGGGGAAAGAGGGTGTCTGAAGAGCTCACCTCATCTGGGGGCAAAAAGAGTCCCCTCCTTTTCCTAACCCACGAAACTCCAGTAAACCCTTTGGGAATCATGAATGTGGGGGATGATGTCTTACTATACTGCCTTCCAGGGATGGGTGTGCAGGTAGGAGGGTGTGGCATGGTGTGGCTGGCTGAGTCTGAGGAGGACCTTGAACACATGATGGTGGTATCTTAGCGGTCAGAGGCCAAACACAAGCATGGAGTGATAAGGGCTAAGGGCTAAGGGCTAAGGGAGGCCTGACAGGGACCGTTCTAACTCATCCACCGAGTTATGGGCCCAGCAAGCACACTCCTCTAAATCAACATTAACAGTTTATTGATTGTTGGGGCACCTGGGTGGCTCAGTCATTAAGCATGTGCCTTCGGCTCAGGTCATGATCCCAGGGTCCTGGGATCGAGCTCCGCATCGGGCTCCCTGCTCCGCGGGAAGCCCGCTTCTCCCTCTCCCACTCCCCCTGCTTGTGTTCCCTCTCTCGCTGTGTCTCTCTCTGTCAAATAAATAAATAAATACAATCTTAAAAAAAAAAAAAAAAAACAGTTTATTGATTATCCATCGACCTGTCCTCCCTCTCCCACCTGCTTCCCAAGGGAAATCCTCGGTCTCATTCCACGTAGTCACTGGCTGTTTTCGCACACCACCTTCCTGTCCAGTAAGAGGAGGAAGGAAGATGGACAAACAGGAACCAGCCCCACAGATGGCACCTCTGCACAGAGGGGTGAGTGTGAGTCTCATTGGGCCAACTGTGACTCTGAGCCATGATCCCAGGGTTGTTTAAAATATGGAACAGAAGGAGCACCTGGGTGGCTCAGTCAGAACAGCACATGACTCTTGATCTCAGTCAGGGTCCTGAGTTCAAGCCCTACACTGGGACTACAGATGATGAAAAATGAATGAATGAATGAATGAATGAATGAATGAATGAATGAATGAATTTTTAAAAATAAAGTATGTAATGTTTATCTCTTTAAAAAAAAAAAATGGAATGGAGGGGCGCCTGGGTGGCTGCCGGTTGAGCATCTGCCTTCAGCTCAGGTCATAATCTCAGGGTGCTGGGATCGAGCCCCACCCCTCTGGGGCTCCCTGCTCAATGGGGAGTCTTCTCCCTCTCCCTCTGCCCCTCCACCCACCCATGCGTGCAAGCTCTCTGTCTCTCTGTCTCTCTGTCTCTCTGTCTCTCTGTCTCTCTCTCTCTCTGTGTGTTTCTCTCTCTGTCTCTGTCTCTCTCTGTGTGTCTCTCTCTCTGAAATAAATAAATAAAAACAAACAATCAAACTTCAAAAAGGAAAAGGGCAGGGACATTTATGATTATTCATGGCGAAAGTTGGAGCACGTATATTCAGGAAACATATGTACCATAGATTCCCATGTTTACTTCGGGGTGGAGACCTGACATCTGAATGAGGCAAAACTGAGTCCCTGATGTCAGGAGGTTATCTGAGGACAAGGAGAAGAGGCTGTGGGCATGCTCTGAGAGCTGGTACAACCTGGATGGGGTCTTAGGCTCCTTTTCTCAGGTAAGGAATCAGGACCTCGCTTCTTCATAGGCTGCAGCCATTATCAGTTGACCTTGAGTCCAGACTTCTGCAGAGACAGCCAGTATTTGGTAGCAGGGCCTGAAAAGACACAATAGCTGACTAGGGGGAAACAGTTCCCTGAAAAACCAGCTTTAAGCTTTCTGCTAGCATCAACCTCATTAACCTTATGGGGCACGGTTTCAATCCCCACCCCCACCCCCACCCCCACCCCCACCAAGTGAGGATCATTCCTCAGTCTTAGGGAATTGGGATGATGATGGCTGTGGCTATTCTTTCATCTCCTCAGGGGAGGTAGGTTTTGGGTAAACGACAGTTTCTGTAAATCTTAGCTGTAACATGGCTATGTTCAGGGCTAAACAGAAGTTTTTAACCTACAGGTTAAAAGGGAATAAAAATAACAGGGAGTCAGACATGCTACATTTTTCCCTGTTAAAATTTCCCCTTGTCCATCCTGCATTCCATTTCTATGACACATGGGCAGAGGTCTGCCTTCTTTATTTAACTGCTTCAAGCTGAATTAGGGTGCAGTAGAGGCTTTGGAATGGAAGGATCTGAGACACTGCAGGTCGCAATTTTTGGTCCCTTGTGCTAATGGAGGGGGTCTCAGAGATAGTTCCTTATCTGAGAACTTGGTTATTTTTCTACATGGTTTGGGACTACATGACACCATTGATTTTATCCCCAAGTGTAGTCTAAGGAATAGTAACAGTAGAGTCAAACCCAATTCTCTCATTCTCTCTCAAATTGATCTGATATCGGTGGGTATCCAAGAATACAGATCAGTAAATTAGTCTGAGCCCCTCCCCTGGGGGGGGGGCGGTAGGTTGTGGTGGTGAAGGGCTTCTGGTAGCCAAGTAGCTTAGTGTTTGATTTTATTTACATGGGTTCTTTTTTATTTTTTTTTTTCTTTAAAGATTTCTATTAAGTAATCTCTACACTCAATGTGGGGCTCGAACTCACAACCCCGAGATCTAGAGTCGTATGTTCTACCAGCTGAGCCAGCCAGGTGCCCCTATTTATATGGGTTCTTATTTTCCAAAGAGGAGTTAATACAGGTGCAGCAAGGTGGAATTAAGGATCATAGACTCTGCCTCATTCAGCAAGTGATCTTGTAGTTAATAAGAGGCATTTCTATGGAAACAAAAGGAAAACATGGTTAATGGTTGGAACAAGGGATACACCTGGTGTCTAAGTCCAGAGGGCTGCCAGTGAGAAGGTCTCTAGATGTCAGGCTTGAAGCATCCTCCAATAGAGTGGGAGTGGGCAGGGGCAATCTGACTAATTTTTCTGGCGTATAGTTCAAATGTCTCATTTTGAGTGACTCATAGAGCAACAGGCACAAAGATTGTCTATATATGAGTTATTGTGGTCATTTCCCTGAAATTTATTTCAAGTTGTCCAGCTTTCATTTGCCAGACTTCAGGAAAAAGGACAGTTTTAGTTCTTAATGATTGTAAGATAAGAGAATGGGAGAATGTTCTGAAACAAATAATGCAATATATGTTAAGGGGAAAAAAAGAAGAAGAAGAAGAAGGAGGAGGAGGAGGAGGAGGAGGAGGAGAAAAGGAGGAGGAGAAAAGAAGAAGGAGAAGAAAAGAAGAAGACGAAAAGAAGAAGAAAAGAAGAAGGAGAAGAAAAGAAGAAGAAGAAAAGAAGAAGAAGAAGAAGAAGAAGAAGAAGGAGAGAAGAAGAAGAAGAAGAAAAGAAGAAGAAGAAGAAGAAGAAGAAGGAGAGAAGAAGAAGAAGAAGGAGAGAAGAAGAAGAAGAAGAAGAAGAAGAAGAAGAAGAAGAAGAAGGAGAGAAGAAGAAGAAGAAGAAGAAGAAGAAGAAGAAGAAGAAGAAGAAGAAGAAGAAGGAGAAGGAGAGAAGGAGAAGAAGAAGAAGAAGAAGAAGAAGAAGAAGAAGAAGAAGAAGAAGAAGGAGAAGAAGAAGAAGAAGGAGAAAAGAAGAAGAAGAAGAAGAAGAGGAGGAGGAGGAGGAAGAAGGAGGAGGAGGAGGAGGAGGTAGCGGGAGGGGACGAATGAAGCGGGGGGAAATCGGAGGGGCGGACGAACCATGAGAGACGATGGACTCTGAACAACAAACTGAGGGTTCTAGAGGGGAGGGGGGTGGGAGGATGGGTTAGCCTGGTGGTGGGTATTGAGGAGGGCCCATTCTGCATGGAGCACTGGGTGTTATGCACAAACAATGAATCATGGAATACTTCATCTAAAACTAATGATGTAATGTATGGGGATTAACCTAAGAATAAAAAAATAAATTAATTAAAAAAAAGAGAGAGAATGGGAGAATGTTGGAAACCTTAGTTTGAAGAGTCACAGTCAGATACTCAAGGAAACCAGAAGGATCCAGGATCCAGTCCAGTTTTATAGGCAAACAATAAACGTTCAAAGATAATTAATCTAACACTCACAAAAGTGTGTTATTGAAATGTAATCTTTCTCTCTAAAGTCACCTTCATTCCTGTCAAAGATAGCCAAAAGAAGATTAATTTGTTTGTAAAACAAGTCCAGTTTTAACAAACTTGGCCCAATCATCTACGTAGGGACAGCAAGAATAGCAATTGACCATATATGGGGTCTTTCTTCTCTTTTCTTTTTCCTTTCCTTCTTTTAAATCTGCTTTGATGGAGCTTTTTACAAGGAATTTTAGATTGATCCTTTAACTGCCTTTTTAAAGCCGAGAACCAAGCCAAATATTGGCCATCAGATTCGCCTGCAAGACTTGTAGATTTGCGGAGGGGTAGACGAACCAGGAGAGACGATGGACTCTGAACAACAAACTGAGGGTTCTAGAGGGGAGGGGGGTGGGAGGATGGGTTAGCCTGGTGGTGGGTATTGAGGAGGGCGCATTCTGCATGGAGCACTGGGTGTTGTGCACAAACAATGAATCATGGAACACTACATCTAAAACTAATGATGTGATGTACGGGGATTAACATAAGAATAAAAAAAATTACAAAAAAAAAAAAGACTTGTAGATTTGGGTGAATTCCTCTCTTCTTTGAGGGCCTCCAAATTTCCTGAAGTTCCTGCATCTGCCAGGAGGTGGTACTCTTCACTCACCTGGTAAGGTTGAGGGGACCTCTCTAAGCAAGGTTATCAGGCCAACATTTCTAAGGGGCTTTACTGGCTCCATAAAGTCAATCTGACTTTCTTAAAGCAGTCTCACCATATCTGAGTCTACGCATGTGTCTCTTCGAGATGACAGTCCAGGGGCACCTGGCTGGCTCAGTCGGTAGAGAGCACGACTCTTGATCTCAGGGTTGTGAGTTCGAGCCCCACGTTCAGTGTAGAGATTATTTAAAAAATAAAATCTCGGAGGAGCGCCTGGGTGGCTCAGTCGTCAAGCGTCTGTCGGCCTTCGGCTCAGGTCATGATCCCAGGGTCTTGGGATCGAGCCCCACATCGGGCTCTCTGCTTGGCCGGGAGCCTGCTTCTCCCTCTCCCGCTCCCCCTGCTTGTGTTCCCTCTCTCGCTGTGTCTCTCTCTGTCAAATAAATAAATACAATCTTAAGAAAGAAAAAAAGAGTACACTAACAATCCAAGAAAACCTTGTCATTTTAACATAGAAAACCCAAATCTCAATCTTATACCAGTGTGCTTTTCTTCTTCTTTTTTTTATTCTTATGTTAATCCCCTACATTACATCATTAGTTTTAGATGTGGTGTTCCATGATTCATTGTTTGTGCACAACACCCAGTGCTCCATGCAGAATGGGCCCTCCTCAATACCCACCACCAGGCTAACCCATCCTCCCACCCCCCTCCCCTCTAGAACCCTCAGTTTGTTGTTCAGAGTCCATCGTCTCTCATGGTTCGTCCGCCCCTCCGATTTCCCCCGCTTCATTCGTCCCCTCCCGCTACCTTCTTCTATTTTTTTTTTCTTCTTCACATAGATTGCGTTATTTGTTTCAGAGGTACAGATCTGAGATTCAACAGTCTTGCACAATTCACAGCGCTTGCCAGAGCACCTACCCTCCCCAGTGTCTATCAGCCAGTCACCCCATCCCTCCCACCCCACCCCCCACTCCAGCAACCCTCAGCTTGTTTCCTGCGATTAAGAATTCCTCCTATCCGTGAGATCATAGGATACATGTCTTTCTCTGTTTGACTTATTTCGCTCAACATAATACCCTCCAGTTCCACCAGTGTGCTTTTCAAACTGCCTTCTCCCAAGCTCAGTCAGTCCTGACCATGCATAAAATTCCTTTTCAAAAATTCTCCTTCACAAACCCCTTCCACAATTTCCTTTTTCATTCAGACTCGGTCTTAAAGTTTTCTTTCTTTAAGTACCCAGTCCCGTTTCAGTACACCATTACTTCCTTTTCCCTCAACAAAAAAAATGTTTTCTCATTTCTTGTACCTCTTTTACACGTCTCCTACCTTCCCACACACGGAGTTGTTTTTGTTATCATTTTGTAGCAGTCCCAATTCCATGTGGCAGAATTTTAATTCTTAGAAATCTCAGTCTCTGGTGAAACGTTAGTAGTAACCAATGGCGCACTCTCTATTACACCAGAATTCTTTAGATTGGCAAATGTATGAATATATTTCATAAATTTTATTTATTTGACAGAGAGAGACACAGCGAGAGAGGGAACACAAGCAGGGGAAGGGACAGAGGGAAAAGAAGGTTCCCCAATGAACAGGGAGCCCAATGCGGGGCTCGATCCCAGGACCCTGGGATCATGACCTGAGCCGAAGGCAGACGCTGAACGACTGAGCCACCCAGGCACCCAAACGTGGTTGGTTGGTTGGTTGGTTTTTATAAAGGTGATGGAGAGGTATATTTTGATAACCACAAATACAGGCTCACTGTTGTGACGGGAGCGTGGCACATTCCACTGCCCACCCAACGGCTTGTAACGCAGGGAGAACCGAATCCAAGTGCTTTTATGACAAAGAAAAGAAAGAAAAGGAAAGAAAGAAAGAAAGAAAGAAAGAAAGAAAGAAAGAAAGAAAGAAAGAAAGAAAAAAGGAGAAAGAAAGAAAGAAAGAAAGAAAGAAAGAAAGAAAGAAAGAAAGAAAGAAAGAAACGCAAAGTTGATTATTTGTATTATGTGTGACATTGATAGCTCCAAAACCACGTCTTTTTAAAATAAACCAACAACCTTGAATTGGCTTTAACGCCAAAGAAGTTGCACCTGCGTCCACTAAAAAGTCAATCGATTGTTTTCCCCCATCAGACTCCTTGGGGAAAGTCTGAAGCGGGCGGTCTAAGATCAGCGGAGCCCTCGGGCCCCTTCCTGCTAGTTTGGGAGGTGCTCCAATTTAAACCTCATAAGGAGGTGGCCCAAGGGCTTGGGCCCAAGGGCAAGGGCTTTTGCTCCTTGATAAGGGGGTGGGGAGGAGGAGGAGGAGGAGGAGGAGAAAGGGGAGCCCATGGCACCCGGGGGGGGGGGGGCGGGGGGGCGGGGGTAGGGAAGGGCGGCTGAGACGGCGGCAGGGGAGTAGAGCACTCCAGGCACACACACCAGTGGTGCAGAAACGGGGCAGGGGAGGCGGCAAGGGAGCCATTGGTAAGGCCCAGGGCACATATACATTTACAGTTTTGGACGAACCTTTTCTTTTTTTTCTCTCCCTCCGCCTCCGCCTCCGCCTCCGCCTCCGCCTCCGCCTCCGCCTCCGCCTCCGCCTCCGCCTCCGCCTCCGCCTCCGCCTCCGCCTCCGCCTCCGCCTCCGCCTCCGCCCCTTTCTTCATCTCCTTCTGCTTAATAGGCTTTGTCTGTGGTGGCTTTTCAGCCCTCCGGAAGCCAGTGGGTTGGGCATCGGTTCTGGTGCCTGTACTTGGGGAGGAGGAGGAGTGGATTTCAGATTTCTAGCATCGGCCTGTCTTCCTCCTCTTCTTCATTATTTTGACTGTTGGGAAGTGGGGGTAAGGTCAGGTGTGTTAAATTTTTGTCTATCTCTGGGCCGTCCCTTGGGTCCCTTACCTTGAGGCATCTTTATTGTGGAGTGACATAAGAGTCTGAATGTAGGGAATTTCATCCCAGATCATGTGAGCTTGAAAAACTGGGTTTATTCTTATCTGAGTTTTACCATGCCCGATTTTTACGAGCACCTGCCTCTAAACTCTTTAAGTAGGGGCACCTGTGTGGCTCAGGCAGTTAAGTGTCTGCCTTGCGTTCACATCATGATCCTGGGGTCCTGGGATGGAGCCCCACATCCGGCTCCCTGCTCCGCGGGGAGTCTGCTTCTCCCTCTCCCAATGCCCCCCCACCCCCAGCTCGTGTGCTCTCTCACTCGCTTTCTTTCAAAGACATAAATAGAATCTTTAATAAAAATAAAACTCGGGGCACCTGGATGGCTCAGTGGTTAAGCGTCTGCCTTTAGCTCAGGTCATGATCCGAGGGTCCTGGGATCAAGCCCCTGCATCGGGCTCCCTGCTCGGCGGGAAGCCTGCTTCTCCCTCTCCCACTCCGCCTGCTTGTGTTCCCTCTCTCGCTGTGTCTCTCTCTGTCAAATAAATAAATAAAATCTTTAAAGAATAAAATAAATAAAATAAAATAAAATAAAATAAAAATAGAACTCATTAAATAGAGCTCCTTTACAAATGGATGTTAGCAATAGCACCCGGAGGTGGAGGAAATACCTCACATGTATAACACATACGGACACATAGACACAAACAAGATGCAAACAAATTTTAGCCTTTGTTTCAGTCTTATTTGTGGAGAGGACATGAATGGAGAGGACACGAAAGACCCAATGTTCAAATCTCCCTCTTTTAGTAAAACAAATGCAACTGCGAAGCAGCATTACCGTGTACAGATCCCACCCGTCAGTTGTTTTCCATTCCCAATGGAAACAGGGTCGGTTTTATGCAAAGATAGCAAAAGCTGCAGCAACCAACCAACCAACCAACCAACCAACCAACCAACCAAATGAAGACCAGAGCATCTCCCTGAGTGTTGGTTCCTCCCCAAAAGTCGGGGCTTCACTGAGGGAACCAAAGAGCTTCCTAGTTTCTGATCACCCAGTCTCCTAGCAGGCTTTCTCTAATTGTGTACACAATTCAGACATGTCAAAAGAACCCCGCTTGGGCCATCTGAGACTCATGTTATCGTGAAATGTTTCCCATGCAAGTAAGCACTTGCAAGTATAGGCTCCCTATGCATTGTACATGTAGCGTGCAGGTGTTTCTTGTGAGGGTGGGCCGTTGTTTCCTCAACATTTGGTGCAGGGTTCTACAGAGTTTTGGTTTGTTTCGTTGGTTTGGTTTTCTGCACACGTGTGTGTGGGGGGGGGGTGTGGTGTGGTGTGTTGTGTGGTGTGTATCTGTGTGCACGGTATCTATCGCTGCTGCGCAGCTAGCTGATCCTCAGGGTGCATCATCCTAACACCGCAATGGCTCGAAACAGCATTTCTTTATCGATAACTTCCTGGTGCTTGCCCTGGGTGGCCCCTTGGGTTCTGCGGGTTTACGCCGGGCTCACTCAAGCAGTGGCTTTCGGCCAGAGGGTCAACTTTCACACGTCTGGCAGTCGGTGCCGCCGAGCACCGGGCTGCCTCTGTTGTCAATGCCTCTCATGCTCCAGTCAGCTAGACTGGCTTTCTTACGTGGAGGTCTCAGGACGGCATGCCAAGAAGGTCGAGAACGCCGGCAGACCACCTCTTCAGGTGTAGGCTGTGAAACCAGCCAAGTGTCACTTCTGCTCTATTCTTTGGGTCAAGACAAGTCCCAAGACCCGGTCCAAAATCAAGGGACAGAGCAATCAAGCCTACCTCTGGATAGCAGGAGCATCGAAGTCATAGGACGTGAGGGTGCACACGTGCCGGGACGTGAGGGACACACGGTTGTCGGTCTGCCACAAGGGATTCCTAAACCCTATGCCGCGATGCACATTTTTGCAAAAGTAAGCTTTACGTTTTAGCATCTAAAACATGATTTCCTTTGAATCAACCCCTAGAATTGGATTCACCAGGAAGAAGGGGAAGATGCGTTTTCCAGCCTCTTGATACAGAAGCTCTTGATTTCCAGAGGGCACTTGGAGGACCCTTCACCAGTCTCTGCTTTGTAAGGCGGGGGGAATTTTTTTTTTTTAAGATTTTATTTATTTATTTATTTGTTTGTTTGTTTGTTTGTTTATTTATTTGAGACAGAGAGAGAGAGAGAGAGAGAGAGAGAGAGAGAATGAATGAGAGAGAGCACATGAGAGGGGGGAGGGTCAGAGGGAGAAGCAGACTCCCTGCTGAGCAGGGAGCCCGATGCGGGACTCGATCCAGGGACTCCAGGATCATGACCGGAGCCGAAGGCAGCCGCTTAACCAACTGAGCCACCCAGGCGCCCAAGGCGGGGGAAATTTAATTGGCCAACCCCCCATGAAAAAGCGACCGATCACGTTCCGACGTCCGAATTAAAGGCAGGCTTCCTTTTTAAAGGCATCCATAGAGCAGCCAGCTCCGTGGCAAGGAGCCGGACTTCTGTGTGTCTGATGAGGAATCCCATTCTCGGCATAAAGGCAATCTCGGGGAGCAGTCGGAGGCAGACCAGATCTCAGATCCACCAAACCCAAGAAATCCCTTGTGATCTGAATGGCTGAATTTGTTGAGGTTTCCCTCCCGATGGCTAAGAAGATGCCTTCCTATCACAGATGACAAAACACAAACCAACAAAACCCCGATAGCTGGGCAGGGTCTTCAAGAAAGGGCCCCTTTTTCATGGAAGCCAACTCTTCCATCTCGCGCCACCCGCC